CCGCAGGGCGTCGAAGGCGAGGCGCCAGGGCGACGCCTCGCGCTCCGTCGCCGTGTTCTCCGCCGACGCGTCGGACTCCATGGTGGCTTTGCGGCAAGCAGAAGCACGCACGCTCGAGCGCTTCGGCTCGGGATGCTCGAGATTTGCCTCTGCCCAGAGCTGGGGGGGGGCAACATCCTGTCGGCAAAGCCTTGGACTTGTTATTGAAGGGGATGCAATCGACGGCGTCAAAGTTGCAGAGGCGCGCGTTGGCAACGATGTGCGCCCCCGCGGGGGCAGCCCGACGACCGCCAGGGGCTGGCTAAATAGAAAAGAAGAAAGAAAAAATGGTGGCGCGGGACCGGCGGACCAAGGCGGACATCGCGCTGTCGCCGCGGTCGGCCGTGAAGCTCGCCATGGTGCAGGTGGAGAAGGCCAAGCCCCTCGAGGAGGCCGAGGACATCGAGTCGGTGCTGCGCGCGTCGGCGGACTACTGCGAGGGCATGATGGAGGCGTCGGAGGTGCGCCGCGCGCGCGAGGCGGCGCGGGGCCCCTACGGCGCGCCGCTGGGGCCCGTCGACGACTTCGTGCACCCGACGTCGCGCTACGGCCTCGGGAAGCCCGCGAAGAAGCGGCCCCTGCCCCTCATGGACCCGTCGCTGAGCGGGGCGAGCCTGCGGCGGTCCAAGGTGGGCACGCCCCTGAGCCTCGAGGATTTGGAAAAGGCCGCGCGGTCCGTGCGCGAGCCGCCGCGGCGCGGCGCGGCGCGCGCGCGCGAGGCGCTCCGGCGCAAGAAGGCCGAGTCCGCGCGGCTCATGGCGAAGCGCAAGGCCCTGCTCCCCTACCTCGAGGGCATCCACTACAACGACATGGAGGTGACGCGCGTGAAGCGCAAGGTCCGCGAGGACGAGGCCCCGGAGGACCTCTTCGCGCGCGACTGCGCGCCCGACGCGCAGGACCGCAAGCTGCGCAAGCTCCGCGCGCGGGAATTGCTCGCCGCCGACGCCGAGTCGCTCGACGGGTCCGTCCACGTGCCCGACGTCACGGCGGCGCAGGACAAGAAGCTGCGGCGCGCGATGACGCCCGCGGAGAGCAAGGCAACGCGGCAGCGGACGGCGCTCCTGCGGGAGCCCGACGACACGGTCTACCTCACGGACCACAGCGCCCGCCTCCTGCGCCGCATGAAGCGCAAGGCCGTCGAGGCCGAGCGCGTCAAGACGGGCTCCGCGCCCGTGACGTCCGTCGCCGCGGACTGCCGGTCCGTCTGCGGCCGCTTCCCGTGGTTCGGCGAGCGCATGAAGATCCTCGACTACGGCGCGCGCGCGGACGCCATGGCGCCGCCGCGGGACCGGGGCAGCGCCTGGCTCCTGGCGACGCTCGCGTTCTGCTACGACGCGCTCTACGACGCGAACGGCCGCTGCGGCCGCGACGCGGGCCAAAAGCCCAAGTCGAAGCCGCCGCGGCCCGACGCCATCGAGAACCTCCACACGAAGAAGGTGCGGCCGCCGCGCGTGCCCGACGTCGTCGCCGACGCCTTCTGGCGGAGCCACGGCGCCGTCGCGCCCTGCGTCGCCTACGAGTTTTTGCGCGAGCTCGAGCGCGCGGAGATCTGCGGCTGCGAGGACTCGACGCAGTTCATCTCCTTTTTGACGGAAGTGCGCAACGACGACCCGCTGTCCGTGATCCTCATGGCGCGCAAGGTCGCCGAGGCGCTCTACAGCCTGGACCTCGCGAGGCCCAAGGAGATGGTCGTCGACGGCGCCGACGGCCGCTGCGACGAGATGGGGCTCCTGCCCGTCGTCGACGAGTGCCCGGCGCTCGTCGCCCACGGCCTCTGGACCGGCGACGTGTTGCGCCTCGCTAGGAGCCCGCTCCACGACCCCCACGTGCTCCAGCTCCTGCTGCCGCGGCGCGCGGTCGCGGCGATCCTCGCGGAGCTCTGCGGCGGCGAGGCCGGCGCGCTCCAGGCGTCCGACGACGAGATCTCGGCGCGGGGCATGTCGGCGAAGAAGGCCAAGGAGAAGGGCTTCGACGTCGTCGAGGCCGACGACACGCCGTCGGGCGACCTCGAGGCCGCGACGACGCCCAAAGCCATGGTCGGCTTCCTGCTCGAGCGCCTCGAGGAGCTCATCCTCGTCAAGTACGCGGGCGAGCGCGCGCTCTTCGGCCCGCCGCCGGCGGGCGCCTGCCTCGTCTTCCCGGCCCTGGGCGCGCCGCGCCTCGACGGCCTCGAGTACTGCGACCTGACGACGCTGCTCGACGCGCTGAGCCTCGCGATCGACTCCGCGCCCGAGGATTTGGTCGCCTTCGTCAAGTTCGACGACGACGGCGAGCGGTTGAGCATGGTCAACGCGCTCCAGAGCGCCATGGACGACGCGACGCAGAGCAACGACCTCATCCAGGAGGTGCGCGTCGCGGAGCGCGCGGTCACGCGGGCCGAGGTCGCGACGATGAAGGTCAAGTTCCAGAAGGACCGCCTCGACAAGATGCAGAGCGCGGGCGACGCCGCCGCCGCCGGGGCGCTGCTGGCCTTCCGCACGAAGCTCCTCGTCGCCGAGGCCGAGGTGAGCCGGAACCGCGCGGTCCTCGAGGAGAAGCGGTCGACGCTCGCGAATTTGGAGCGCCGCGCGGACGCGACGTGGGACTCCCTCATCGCCAACAGCGCCCACGCGGCGCCCGTGGGCCACACGAAGGACCACGACGCCTGGGAGGCGAAGCGCCGCGACATCCGCGCGGGCGTCGCCAAGGCGACGAAGCGCGTCCGGCGGACGCGCGCCGTCGCGGCGCGCGCGTCCACGCCCATCCCCGCGGCGCTGCGGCTCTTCGCGAGCTGCGGCGCGCGCCTCTGCGTCGAGGAGGCGCGCTACCGAGCCCAGCAGCGGCGCCTCGCCGCGCGGCGCCTCAAGGCGCGCGCGGCCGGCGACGCGACGTTCGCGTTCCGGCCCACGCCCAAGGTCGTCGGCGACTCCGGCGAGACGCGCGAGTCGGAGCTCGAGTTCGCGCCGCCGGACACGACGGAGCACTACGACGCCGCCGACATGGACGCCGTGCTGGCCCCCTGGGTCGCCTGGCAGGACGCGCACTGCGCGAAGATCCAGCGCTGGGTCCGCGGCCGCCAGGCGAAGAAGCGCGTCATGGCGCGGCCGACCGTCGTCGCGCTCGTGCAGAACCGCGACAAGGTGCGCTACGTCGCCATGGTCCAGGAGCAGCGCTCCAAGGAGGACGCCGTCCGCGCCGCGGACCGCGACATGATCCGCCTCCTGACGCTGCGCCGCGAGGAGCAGAAGCGGCGCAAGGAGTTCAGGGACGCGGAGGAGAACGCGAGATTAAAACTCCAGTCCATGGAGGTGGACCGCCGCGCGAAGATCGCGAACGCGAAGCTGCTCAAGGAGTTCGTGCGCGCCTGGAAGCAGCTCGTCGTCGCCCGCAAGTTCGGCCTCGGCCGCGGCGCGCGGCTCCTCCGGGCCATCTACGCCGCGTGGCACGAGAGCGCGAAAGAGACGGCGGCGGAGAAGCGCGCCGCGCGGCTCGTCCAGACGCTCTGGCGCATCATCATGGCCGCGGCGCGCGTCAAGATCATGCGCGAGGAGCAGCTGCGGCGGCGGCGCGAGGCCGTGCGGCTCCACGGCAAGGCGAGCGAGCGCCGCACGCAGCGCATCGTCAACGCGTGGGCGTCGTGGGCCGCGCCGCGCGCCGCGGGGCGGCGCATGGCCCGGGAGCTCGAGCTCAACTTTCTTTGTAGAGTGTTGCGCACGTGGCGCAAGTGGACGAAGGCCGCGCCCCTGCGGCGCCGGGGCTTCGCGCGCAAGCTCCAGCGCCTCGTCCGCGGGAGGCTCGCGGGCGTCGCGACGCTCGTCCGCGAGCACGCGGTCGCGCGCGGGTCGCTGGCGATCCAGTGCTGGTACCGGACGCTCGTGGCGTCGCGCTTCGTGCGCGACCTGCGGGAGACGAAAAAGGTCAAGCTCGCGCTGAAGAAGCGGGAGCAGGAGGCGGTCTACTTCAAGAAGCGCGTCATGCGGCGCTGGAGCCACGACGTCTTCCGGCACTGGCGCCGCTGCGCGCGGGCCGAGGCGCTGGGCAAGGCGTGCCTCCTGCGGCGCGTCTACCCCCACTGGCGCGCCTTCGTCGACGCGCAGGTCGCGGAGAACGACGCGCTGCGCACGTGGGCCGCGGACAAGATCCGTTTGGTGGTTCGGGGCCGGCTCCAGCGCAAGGCCTACCGGCGCGTCGTGCGGCGCCACCACGCCGCGCGCCTCGTCCAGAACACGCTCGTGCGCAAGTACCTCGCGCGCAACGACTTCACGCGGCGCGTCCACGCGACGTGGGCGGCGCGCGAGGTCCAGCGGTGGCTCCGCGGCGTCCGGGGCCGCGAAAGGCTGCGGGCCTGGAACCGCCACGAGCTGCTCGCCGCGGCCTACGCGGACACGGCCAAGGTCCTCGTCAAGCGCCAGCGCGCGGCGCTGCGCGTGCGGTCCCTGGCGTCGACGCACGCGCTGACGACGAAGCACCCGGCCCAGGGCGACCTCGCGATCCACCGCGCGGCGCGCGGCGTCGGCCCCCACGCCGTCGCGTCCTGCATCGGCGCGCTGGGCATGGCCGCGGACTGCTACAACGACGGCGGCTCCGCGCCGCTCCACCTCGTGGGCTTCGACTTGGACCCGCCCGCGCGCATCGTGAGGATCCGCGAGAAGGAGCGCGAGAAGCAGCGCCTCTGGGAGCAGGAGCAGAAGGCGGACCGCGCGGCGGCGCTCGAGGCGGAGCAGGCCTTCGAGGCGGGCAAGCCCGAGTTCCTGAAGCTCGCGCAGAAGGCCGTGAAGGAGGACGCGGCCGTCGACGAGCAGGACAAGACGAACACGCGCCAGTCGATGCGCGGGCCCCACGCCTTGGGCGAGCAGCCGAGCGTCGCCGAGAGCTCCCTGGGCGAGGCGGGCGCCGAGGACCCCAAGGAGGGCCACCGCCTCGGGTCCGCGAAGCGTCTGGACGACCTCGACGACGACGAGGTCAAGAAGGGCGTGCTGTCCATGTTCGACGACTGGTTCGACCCGGAGGAGGAGTCGCTCCAGGGCGACGTCGAGGCGCTGAACTCGGACGTCGAGAGCGACCGGAGCTCCCTCGGCTCCGCGGGGTCCGACGCGTCGGACCTCGAGGAATTGCAGAGCCACATCTCGTCCGCGGCCGCGACGCTGCTCGAGGCCGGCGCGGACCACTACAACGCCGTCGTCGACACGCTGCTCCGCCACGGCGCGGACATCGAGGCGCCGGACGCCGTCGGCCGCACGCCGCTCCACGCGGCCATCGACCGCGGCGACTTTGGGCTCTGCGGCATCCTGATGGACCGCGGCGCGGACGTCAACGCGGTCGACTACGCGGGCTTCTCGTGCCTGAGCCTCGCGGCGCGGCGCGGCCGCGTGCTCATCGCGCGGAGTCTGGTCAGGCGCGGCGCGGAGGTGGACCTGCCGGGCCGGTCGGGCCGCTGCGCGGCGCACGAGGTCTGCATGCGCGCGAACAAGCGCTTCGCGCCGCGCTTTTTGCGCATCCTGCTCGCGTCGGGCGCGGACGTCCACGGCGCCGACGACGAGGGCCGCACGCCGCTCATGCACGCCGTGGGCTGCCGCCACGCGCGCGACGACGACGACAGCGACGACGACAACGACGCCGACGGCACGCCCGAGGCCGCGATCCTCCAGATGCTCCTGGAGCGGTCCGTCGACGGCAACGTGCGCGATTCGCGCGACATGACGCCCCTCATGCTCGCGGCGAAGGCGGACCGCGTCGACGCGGTCCAGGCGCTCGTCAACATCGCGGACGTCGACATCCTGGCCACGGACAAGAAGGGCCAGACGGCGCTCCACATGGCCGCGCGCGTCGGCAGCGTCAAGACCGTCAAGGCCCTGCTCAAGTGCGGCCACGACGTGCGCGTCATGGACCACGAGGGCAACCAGCCCGTCCACGCGGCGTGCCGCGGCGGCGACGTGCTCACGGTGGAGACCCTGGTCGCCTACGACGCGCCCCTGGGCTGCCGGAACTGGGCGGGCTTCACGCCCATCGGCGTCGCGCGCATGTGCGGCCGGCGCGCGGCCTTCCGGTTCCTCGAGGACACCGTCGCGCCGGAGACGATGGGCGTCTTCGAGGTCAAGGACTACGACGGCGGCGCGGACGACGAGGTCCAGGCCGAGGTGGAACGGAAGAAGGCGGAGGACCCCCAGCCCTACTTCGACAAGAAGCAGCGCAAGTGGATCTTCCCCGAGCCCGAGCCCGAGCCCGAGCCCGAGCCCGAGCCCGACGAGGCGGCCGGGGACGCCGTCGCGCTGCCCCTCTGGGACCTGCCCGTGTCGTCCAAGGCGGACAAGTGGGTCAAGGGCTGGAGCGGCGAGGAGGGCTTCAGCGACATCGTCTGGACCCACGAGGACACGGGCGAGGTCCGCGCGCTGCCGCCGTCGGACACCGCGGAGCACGTCCGCGACCTCTGCCGCAAGGCCTGGCCCAAGACCGTGCTCAAGCGCCAGCTCGTCGTCGCCAAGGACACGGACGGCGACGACATCGAGGTCGGCGCCGCGGAGTACGAGTACGACCGCAAGAAGCACGACCGGGAAGTCGCGCAGCTGCGGCGCGAGCACGCGGGCGCGACGGTGCTCCAGACGATCTGGCGGCGTTTGGACGCCATCTTCATGGCGCGCCTGCTCCGCGAGCGCCGCGCGGGCGCGCGGGGCATGCAGCGGCTCGTGCGCTGGCGCCAGTGGGAGGACCGGCGGCGGCTCAAGATCCGCATGGACGCGGCGGCGACGCTCCTGTCGAAGACGTACCGGGGCCGCGACGCGCGGCGGAGCTGGGCCAACTTCACGCACGACCTGCTCTGGTGGCGGCGGGCCGAGCGCCACCTCGGCGTCAAGATGCAGCGCCTCTGGCGCGGCCACGTGAGCCGCCGGTTCCTGCGGCGCGCGCGGTGCATGAAGTACGGGCCCCGGCGCTTCGAGGCCTGGGCGCTCGTCGTCACGGAGAGCGGCGAGCCCCTGCGCAAGTACGGCATCTACGAGGAGCGGCTCTACCCGCGGCGCTTCGCGCACCCGAAGGACTGCGAGCGCATCGCGGACCTGGGCCCGTGCTTCCGCGACGTCAAGTTCTACTACAACCGCGTCACGGGCCGCTGCGACTGGGACATGCCCAGCGACTGGATCGTCCACGACGCCAACGAGTTCCGGAAGCGCGAGGAGAGCCGGAAGCGCGGCTTCACGGACGAGGAGGCCGCGGCCGCGTCGACGCTCCAGGCCATCTGGAAGGGCCGCCGCGACCGCATGAACCTCAAGGCGACGATCCAGGGCGCCAAGCTCATGCGGTCCTGCGAGGACGAGTACCTCGAGGACCCCATGAACCTGCGGAAGATGACCTACTACGTGCTCTACCTGCACGCGATGACGAAGGACGAGGAGCGCGCGCGGCCCCTCTACCAGCACTGCATGACGCGCATGCGCGACCGGGGGCCCGACGACGCCTGGGTGCTCATCTCCTACGCCGTCTTCTGCGCGGCGACGGGCGACGAGGACTGGCCCGTCATCGAGGAGTGCGCGCACCGCGGCCGCGTCGCGCCCGAGGGCCCGCTCCACGGCGACCGGCGGGGCTACGACCTCGCGGACGGCGGCTTCTTCCGCGCGGCGACGGCGGCGGACCCCTGCGGCTGGACCTGGCACAACTACGCGCTCTGCCGCTGGCTCGCGTACGGCGACATGAAGGGCGCGGAGCGCGCGTTCGTCCGGTCCGTGCAGTGCGCGCCCCACGACCGCCTCATCCAGGAGAACTTCGACTTTTTTCTCGACAAGGCCTACCCGAACAAGCGCGACTCCATCTCCTGCTACGACGTCATCCGCCAGGACGCGACGCGCCAGATGGTTCGGGAGCTCGAGAACGAGGAGAAGCGCCGCGAGCGCCAGCGCAACGACCCCCGGGTCCAGGCGGCGACGATGCGCATCCAGATGGCCTGGCGGCGGCGCCAGTTCTTCCAGGAGATCCTGGGGCGGGACTACTTCAAGAACAAGCGCGAGGCGGAGGAAAAGGCGCGGCTCGAGGCGTTGGAGGCGGGCGAGGTCGACGAGGAGGACTTCTCCGAGGAGTCGGAGAGCGAGGCGTCGGAGGAGGCGGCGAGCGTGAGCTCCGTCGACTCCGAGGAGGAGCGGCTGCGGGGCAAGCAGGTGCGGCGCTGGGAGGAGGGCGCGGACGCGAGCGGCCGCGTCTACTGGTACGACACGGTCCGCGGGCTCTCGGTCTGGCAGGAGCCCGACGATCTGGACGACCTCGTCTACATCGGCAAGGACGGGTCGCAGATCGTCCCCCAGGAGATCGACTCGGAGGACGAGGAGGACGACGACCCGCGGCTCCACCCCGAGTACGAGGAGCACCGCGAGGGCCGGTACACGTTCTACTTCCACGTGCCCACGGGCACGTCGACCTGGCAGCGGCCCAAGTACCCCAAGCCCGAGGAGCTCAAGCTCATGGCCGAGGCCAACGAGCAGAAGCCCGCCAACGACGCCGACGAGTGGGAGGCGCACCGCGACGAGGGCAGCGGCCAGATGTACTTCTACAACGTCTCCACGGGCATGTCCCAGTGGAGCCACCCGGGCACGTCCGCCTTCGTCAAGTTCGACCACGGCGAGGAGACCGCGCTCGTGGTGACCTACCTAGGTAACCTGTGAATTGTGTCTCGCGCTCCTAGTCCGCGGGCGTCGCCTCGAGGACCGCGACGACGTCGTAGCCGCGCGACCGCGCGACGTCCGCCGCGGCCTTCGCCGCCGGGTCGCGCGGGTCGGCGCCGCGCGCGACGAGGAGCTTCGCGACCTCGACGTGGTTGTGCTCCACCGCCGCGGCGAGCGGGCTCCAGTCGCCCGTCGTGACCGCGCCGTTGTCGAGGAGGAACGCGACGACCGCCGCGTGGCCGCGCGACGCCGCGACGTAGATGGGCGTGAACCTGCGAACGGAGGACGGGGTCGCGCCGACTCGCCCGGGAAGCGAAAGGGGGACGGGGTCGCGCCGACTCGCCCGGGAAAGACGCCGGCGCCGCGCCCCTTCTCGGACTTTTGGTGGACGTCCGCGCCCGCGTCGGCGAGGCGCTTGAGCACGGCCACGTGGCCGCCCTGGCAGGCGATGTAGCTACACGTCCAGCCGTCCGCGTCGCAGCGCTTCACGTCCGCGCCGTTGGCGAGCAGGAGCTCGACGACGGCGGCCTGGCCCAATTGGCAGGCGGAAAACAGGGGCGTCCAGCGGTCGTTGTCCTCGCGGTCCACGGTCGCGCCGCGCGCGATGAGCAGCTTCGCGACGTCGCACGCGTTCTGTTCGCAGGCGGCGTAGAGCGCCGTCCATCCGTCTTGATCCACGGCGTCGACGGACGCGCCGGCGTCGAGGAGGAGCGTCGCGGCGTCGACGGCGTTCTGCTGCGCGGCGTAGTGGAGCGCCGACTGGCCGTCCTCGTCTTCTTGCGCGAGGTCCGCGCCCGCCGCGATCTCGGCGCGGACGACGTCCAACTTTCCGTCGCGCACGGCGGCCAGCAAAAGCGGCGCGACGAGGCCGGCCATCGACGAGTTCCAAGAGATTAGTTGAAAAGGCTGCCCCGTGGCATCGGTGCCATCGTCGAATTCCAAGGCTGCCGAGCTGTTGGTGCCGGCATTTGCTCGAGCACCTGCAAGGGCTGCATTTAAGGGCTGCCACACGATGTCCACTTTCTCGCGGGACGACGACGAGACCTCGACCCTGCACGAGATCCTCGGCGTCCCGGGCCTCGGCGCCCTGCGCGTCGTCGACGCCGTCGAGCTGCGCCACGAGTTCCCCGTGCTCGGCGTCGGCGGGCCGGTCCGGAAGCGCGACGTCGAGGTGCTCGGGCTCGTGGACCTCGCCGACGCCAAGGCCTGGGGCGGCGCGCGCAAGGCGCTGGTCAAGCGGTGCCCCGGCGTCGCCGCGGGCCGCGTCGCCGTCGCCGCGGGCGTGCGCCGGTCGCCGGAGCACTTCGCGGCGGCCGTCGAGGCCTTTTACTCGCGCGGCGCGTCGTCGCCCGAGGCCGAGGCGGGGACCTGGGCGTCCCTCGACGGCGCGGCGCGCGCCGCGGCGCTGGGGCCGCTCCTCGCGGCGGCGGACCGCGCCTGCGGCGACGACCGGTGCCCCGCGTGGGCCGGCGCGACGGTCGTCGAGTACGAGGAGCGGTGGTCCGCACCGGGCCGCGCGGCGGAGACGCGGAGCGGCGTGCGGCTCGTCGGCGCGCTCCCCGCCTGCCTCGCCCGGGAGCTCGCGCGGTGCTGCGAGGCGCCCTTCGGCGGCGCGCGGCCGGCCTTCGACGTCGAGGTCGTCGGCGACGCGCACCCGGGCGGCGACTTCGCCGCGAGCGCGCTCGCGGCCGCGACGCGCGACGGCCGGACCTGCGACGGCTGCGGCGCCGCCCTGGGCGCCGCGCGCACGGCGACCCTCGACGGCCAGATCTGCGTCGTCGTCTGCGACGGCTGCGCGCGCGGCGGCGCGGCCGTCGCGGGCTTCGACCGGACCGCGCGGACCGCGCGGCTCGTCGCCGAGGGCCGCGCGGCCTTTGCGCGCCTCGGCCGCGACCTGCGCTGGGGCGCGTCGAACCTGCGGCCGCCCGCGGCGGGCGGCGCCTGCGACGCGGCGAGCCACCCCGACGCGGCGTGCGCCGCGTGCCGCGCGAGCCCCGTCGAGGGCGCGCTCTGGCTCGACGCGACGGCGCCGGACCCGGTCGCCGGCGCGCTCTGCGAGCCCTGCTACTGGGCGCGCCACGTCTACGACCGGCCGAGCGCCTGGCTCCGCCTGCCGACCTTCGGCGGCGGTCTGGCGGCCGCGCTCGACGTCGAGCGGCCGCCGCGCCAGGTCCTCGACGACGACGCGGCGGGCGCGGACCGGGTGCTGCGCCTGCCCTGGCCCGCCGCCGAGGCCCTGGCCCAGCCGCCGCGCGCGCGGAAGATGGGCGCGCGCGTCGCGGCGCTCGACGCGCGGCGCGGCGGCGACCGCTTCGCCGCGGGCTGGATGCGCGACTATTTCGCGCGCGCCGCGGACGACGCGCCGCCGGCGCCGC